CAGGCCCGACTTAGTCCTGGGCGTTGAACTGCGCGATGGCTGCCTGCGCCACGATCGATATGGCGTCCCACAGAGGCTGGTGCTGGGCCTGTTTTCCACCACCACCACCATAAGTTGGAGGGGGGAGGGGGTCCTCCTCCTCCTCCTCTTCCTCATCCTCCACCTCCTTCCCCCCTCCAACTTCAACTTATGATAGTGGTTGTGGAAAACAGGCCCCTCAGCTGGTGCAGCACGGCGAGCTTCGCCAGCGCCCACGACGAGTTCGCCAGGTCCCGCGCCCCGAACAGGGCGGTGCCCTCGAGGAGCGAGGACGCGATCGCACGCCGGAGCGGAAGGTTCTACCAGGCCAGAGTCGCCATGGCCCACGATCGGCGGCGAGCGACGGGGGGGGACTGAGAAGGAGAAGGCCTGCTCCTGAGCACTTTCTTGGGGTGGAGGGCTCAGGGTGAAATCCATACGGGCTTTTGCACCTCAGAAATCAATCCGTCCTGTGATTCACCTTTTGCAGATTCAAGCCTCGAAAATCCATCGAAACGGCATTCCAGATTTTACCCTTTGCCCTCCACCCAAAGAAAATGCTCAGCTCTCAGAAGGTTCGGCAGTCCCCCGGCCTGCTGAGGAGTTGGAGCCTGCCCCGAAGACAGAAAAGACTTCTCTCAGAAGGCGCGAGGGCGTCTGCGAAGCCCCGCCGCCTTCTGAGAAGGCCTTCTCGTCCTCATTTCCCCCCCTCGCTCGCCGCCGACATGAGGTCTGCGCTACGTCTCGGGGCTGCCAGGCCCGCGCGCCCCGGGCAGCCAGGGCCGCGTTCGCCAGGGCGTCGAGGATGATGGGCCGATTTTCCGCCACCACTACCACAGGTAGGAGGAGGAGGAGGAGGAGGAGGAGGAGGAGGAAGAGGAGGAGGAGGAGGAGGAGGAGGAGGAGGAGGGCCTCCCCGTCCTCCCTTCTCCCCCGTCCTGCCTATGGCAGTGGTGGAGGCCTCCTAGACGGGGTCGGAGTAGATTGGGTCGAAGGAACCCGCCGCATCGCCGATACATCGGCGATGCATCGGCGATGCATGATGCACCGGTGATGCACCGCCGACGTCGGCGACACATCCGCGACGTCGGCGTGGGGAAACACGGGCTCCACATCGAGCCGCATCGTGGACTCATCGGCGATGCGGCGCGATCCTCCGACCCCATCTACTCGGACCCCATCCAGGAGGCCTGCAAGCGGTGGTGGAGGAGGAGGAGGAGGAGAAGGAGGAGGAGGAGGAGAAGGGCCTCCCCATCCTCCCTTCTCCCCCGTCCTGCCTATGGCAGTGGTGGCGGAGAACTGGCCCATCCGAGGAGCGGGCGGTCCCCGCTCCGCAGCCGGGCCGCCGACCACGCCGCCCGGGCCAGCTCCGCGAGGGCGCCGCCCTCGAGCCCGCCGGCGCGGGCGGCAGCGGGCGGCCTGGGCGCCAGAGGCGCGCGCGAGCGAAGGGCAGCCATGCGTCCAGGAGGTCGTTCGACGAGCGCGTTCCACCACTTGACCTGACTTGACCTACATCGAGAAGACCGACATCAAGAGATGCGGCATACCCATGGACCGCGCAAAGTTGCGATGTCCAAGGGCTCAACAGAAAATCCAGGACGAGATAGCTACGATCCCACCGTTGGACGAGCGCGTTCCACTACTCGCAAAGTAGCTACCCGCAAATCGCCTGGATCCGTCGCGGGGGATCTACGACAAAGTATATCAAAGCAGACATGTGTGTGTTTCGGGCGTTTGCGAGTAGGCACTTTGCGAGTAGTGGAACGCGCTCGGCGAGTCGTGCGGACATCAGCCCAGAGATCCAACGCACGGAAAAAATCATGACGGAGGTTGTTCTCAAATTTCGGCCCCTGGGGGCCCTCGCCGGGCCTCGGGGCCGTCAAAAAACGACTCGAGCTGAAAAACCGGTCCTGGGGAAGGGGTCGAGACTTCCAGGGACCCCGTAATAAAAAAAACACGACATCGCATCTTTGGGAGCGCCCCAGCGGCGGCAAGCGAGGGGGAGAAGTGAGGAGAAGGCCTTCTCGGAAGGCGGCGGGACTTCGCAGAAGCCCTCGCGCCTTCCGAGAAGTTGTTGTCTGTCGGCCGCGGGACTTCCGAGCCTTCTGAGAAGGCCTTCTCCTCCTCCCTTTCCCCCCTGGCTCGCCGCCGAATGCGGGCATCAGCGCCCGGGCGCTCGTGCCGAGCTGAGAAGCCTGAGCCGATAGGGGCAGGGCGGGCTCCTGCCAGGACGACGCCTGCCCTTTCGCGTGCGCAGTGCGCGCCGTGGGCCGCGTGCCGTGGGCCCCCTGGGCCCGAAGAGGGCCCCCGGACGGGCGTTCGGCCCTGGCGGCGCCACCGCACCGAGGCGGCGTGACCAACCTGTTCTTCGAGCTGCGTCCAGCCGTGGCGACAAGGAGCGCCCCTGGAGACCAACAAGGGTGATTGGCCTGGCGAGGGACCCAGCGCTTAGCAGCTTCATGTACCGTTGGTGGCGAACCTCCCTATGCAGCTCCATGCGCGATCCGCTCGAGGAGTGTGCCGAAATGAGTGGGGGGACGCATGCAAGCCTTCCCATTTGGGGCCGTAGGTGTAGCTCCCTGGGGAACACGCAACGTGCGAAAGGCACGTCGAAATGCGCGGGGAAACGCCTGCAAACCTTTCCACTGGGGCCGCAGGCGGGGTTCGTGTGCCGGAACCGACGAAGGTGTGCATGCAAACTTTCCCAACTGAGGCCGTGGGTGGAGCTCCCTGCCAGGCGCCTCGATCCTCGTGAAGGATGCGCCGAAAGGAGCGGCGCCGCCCTGCGGACCCTCCCCGGTCGTGGGTGGAGCTCCTCATGGGGCCACAGTCCTCGTGCGCGGCCCCGAAATGGGAGGAGGACGAGGAGGAGGAGGAGGAGGAGGAGGAAGAGGAGGAGGAGGAGGAGAAGGAGAAGGAGGAGGAACAGGAGGAGGAGGAGGAGGAGGAGGAGGTGCGGCGCCCTTGTCGGACCCCTCCACTGGGGCCGCCTGGGGCCACGAAAAATGCGCGAGGGTTGCGCCGAAGTGGACGGCGCTGCGGACCCTGCCACCAGGGCCGTCTGGGATCACGATCCCTGCGAGGGGTGTGCTGACATGCGTTTGGCGGTGCCATGCGTTGGCGCCTACTGAGACCGTGGGTGGAGCCTCGTGAGAGGTGTGCCGAAAAGGGGGCGGTGGTGCCATGCGTCGGCGCCCGCTGAGACCGTACGCAGAGCAGCCTACGGACACAAAACGCGCAATGGTGTGACGAAGTGGACATGCGGAATGCACGGGCAGGAGGAGAGATGGGGGGGAGAAAAGGAGAGGAGAAGGTGAGACGCGCAACAATGCGGATTCAAAACGACGATCCGACGACACTGCTGGTCGGGGGGAAACACGAAGCAAGGGGAAGAGGAAGTGGAAGCTGGAACCACACGATGACATCGTTGCCGCACCAAGGTGGCGCGACCCTGCCAAAGGCCTCCAAGGGTCTCCGCAAGCCTCCGGAAGTCTCCACGAGGGCTCGGGAACTCTCGAGAGGCCTCCAGAGCTCAGCACGGCAGAAGGAATAGAGTTGCCCAGGGGCGGGCGGCTCCAAGTAACAGAAAGACCAGCTGTCGCAAATTGTTCGTGGCGCTGGATGTTTGTGGTCGTTGCGAGGGCTGGGTTCCCCGTTCCTCATGATTCTGCTCGCCGCACTGCTTGCCGAGGTCCCAGTAGCACGGCAGCGGTGGCAAGGTGCGACGCCTTCACGGCGCGTTGGTCGCCAAGGCGCCAGGGTCGTCTCGGCAGTTTTGAATCCAATTCCCCTTTCCGTTTCGTCCCGCTCCCTTCGTCGTCTTGGTACACCCGATGGAATCAGCACCAATGAGCAAGATAACCAAGACCAAGCGCTGCCCAACATGGACAGCGGTTGATGTTAGACAAACGACTTTCGCGTCTGTCATCGTTCCCACCTTTTTCGTTCCCAATTCGGCCCCGCTGGTCCTACTCCCGATATTCCCTCCCCTCCCCTGCGCTTCCTCGCGCGCGTTCGTCGGTTTGGGGGGTGCCCGAATCCAGTATCCCCAGGCGCTGGGAGGGCGACCCAAGGGCAACCGAGTTGCGCGCGCGCGGGGGGGGGCACGACCCGTCTCAAAAAAAAATGCGGGCCTTTTCTCGCGCATCGGCCGCGGCCGCATGTCGAACTCTTCCCAAAATTTCCATCACCGACGCGAAGGCGCCCTCATCATCGTCGGCGCGATCAACATCGGCGCCCGCACTGGCCGTGGTCGTCGCTGTTAGCATCGTCACCAGCATCGCTACTATCATCACCGTGTCTACCGTTGCCGACGTTGCCATGATACCACGCCCGCTCGCCGACTCGCATTGAAGTGCCCGCTGGGATGTGCCCAACAGTCAGCGCCACCGCGGCTACGTCGGTCGCGCCAAAGTGCACGCGCGCGCATGCGCGGGCTGTCGCGGCCGCAGAGATGCACCAGCCAGCGCCAAGTACTTATCGCAATCGCCGCCGCATGGGGTTTGCAAACCTAGTTGCCGGCGGGCGAATGGGATGTTCGCGCCAACAATGGAGAGGACGACTTCAACTTGAAAGTTGAGCGCTGATTAATTCTCCTTTCTAAAACGAGAATACACTGAGAATAGACTCGACCCCCCCCCGGCGTTATCGGTCCCCCTTTTTCGGGTATGTAAATCATATACGATTCTGACCAAATGTCCATCCTAACTATGAATTGACACTATCCCCGGGGGGCCGGTATCCACCCCCGTGAGGTTCCCTTGGAGAAACAAAAGGAGAGAGGAAAAAAAATATATCCTGGCGAAGGACCCAACCATATGTAGTTGTGAGTATCGCAATTGTGAGTATCTTCTTCGGTGGCGCTCCCTATGGGGCCACGAACCGCATCAGGGGTGTGCCGAAATGTGGCGGGGTACACAACGCAAAGGAATACGATAGATCTGATTACGAGAGAAAGAACGCGGGTGAGTCAGAGCGCGAGGGAATCTGAGTATGAATGGGTCTGCGCGCGAGTAAATATATTTGCATGAATGCGATCATGGAACCGCCTAGTGCAAGTGTCGAGCATGCCTGTCCGAACACACGACACTGGGCGTGGCCGCCGCAGGCAGCTTCCGCGGGAACCCCGACGGCAGCGTCCGCACGTCGCGACGCCCATGTCGGCGCGCCTCTTGCGAGGATCGCGCCCGCTTTCGGCTCTTCTTTTCCTTCCTCTTTGCCCGCGCACTCCAAAATCCAAGGCTGCGGGCGCAGCGCAGCGCGGAGTCCCCGCGACGCGCGCTGGTCGCCCCGGGCGGGGTCCCAGCGACGCGCGCGGGTCGTCCGCTGCGCGAAGCAGA